CTACAAAGTCGCCAGTTCTCAGCTTCCAGCTCCACAGATTGCTCCGCGTACTAAAGTTGTACTAGAAAAGTCGCCAGTTCTCATCTTCCAGCTCCCCAGATTCCGCGTACTAAAGTTGTACTACAAAGTCGCCAGTTCTCAGCTTCCAGCTCGACAGATTGCTCCGCGTACTATGTTGTACTACAAAGTCGCCAGTTCTCAGCTTCCAGCTCTACAGATGCTGTGCCTGCCACGAAATCTGCACACGGCGGTTCACAAAGTGCTGCGCTTGCCACGAAATGTGCACATGGAGGTTCACAAAGTGCTGCGCCTGCCACGAAATCTGCACATGGAGGTTCACAAAGTGCTGTGCCTGCCACGACATCTGCACTTCAAGAAACAGCTGAAAACTCTAACCACAATGGAGGGACGATTCCGCCCATGATCCGAGCATGATCCGACCATGATCCGAACATGACCCAAGACCGTCTCCCAACCGTCGTTCCGCGGAGCTTCCTCGAGGTTCGGAGAAGCATGGAGGTTCACAAGGCGCTATGCCTGCCACGAAATCTGCACATGGAGGTTCACAAAGTCCTGCGCCTGCCACGCAATCTGCACATGGAGGTTCACAAAGCGCTGTGCCTGCCACGACACCTGCAGATGGAGGTCCACAAAGGGCTGCGCCTGCCACGAAATCTGCGCATCGAGGTTCACAAAGTGCTGCGCCTGCCACGAAATCTGCAGATGGAGGTTCACAAAGCGCTGTGCCTGCAGAGGTTCACAAAGCGCTGCGCCTGCCACGACATCTGCACATGGAGGTTCGCAAAGTGCTGCGCCTGCCACGAAATCTGCACATGGAGGTTCACAAAGTGCTGTGCCTGCCACGAAATCTGCACATGGAGGTTCACAAAGCGCTGTGCCTGCCACGAAATCTGCACTGAAACCTCTAATCACAATGGAGGGACGATTCCGAGCATGATCCGACCATGATCCGAGAATGACCCGAGACGGTCTCGCGCACATCGTTCCGCAAAGCTTGACTGGCCAGCTTCGGAGCCACCCTTTCTACTGAAAACAACAGCATTTCGTGCGTCCGCTCTCTCTCTCTCGAAAACGTATTTTGTATTGCGCTGCCACGAAATCTACACATGGAGGTTCACAAAGTGCTGCGCCTGCAACGAAATCTGCACATGGAGGTTCACAAAGGGCTGCGCCTGCCACGAAATCTGCACATGGAGGCTCACAAAGTGCTGTGCCTGCCACGCAATCTGCGCATGGAGGTTCACAAAGCGCTGTGCCTGCCATGAAATCTGCGCCTCAAGAAACTAGAGCTAACTGGATGATGAGTGGTGTATGATGAGTGGTGTATGATGAGTGGTGTAGTGATGAGTGGTGTATGATAAGTGGTGTATGGTGAGTGGTGTATGATGAGTGGTGTATGATGAGAGGTGTGTGATCTGTGGTGTATGATGAGTGGTGTATTGATGACTGGTGTATTGATGAGTGGTGTACGCACAGTCCTTGAATGTCCGTAACACGGAAGTTTCGTTCTCTAAACTTCCTTTGAACATCTTGAGGATTTGTCTTGTTGCGGGTTCATTGTCACTCCTGTAGGCAATTGCTGAATACCCCAAGAATTGACTCAAATTCGTCAACTCTTGCGCAATGAGAAGAAACTGGCTCTTGCTTCCTAATGGCACGACATGAATGAATCCTTCAATGCAACATCTGTTCTCGACCATTGGTGTCCCAACCATGCTCCATCAGTCTTCCATAGCAAAGTATGGGCTGATTCACCTTTTAACTGAAGATCACAGTCTCTTTGAGAAGAACTTCGCGTCCATCAAGGTCACGCAAGGAAAGTTCATCACTTTTCGCACACTCGGTGGGGATACGATTCCCCTGGACATCTTGTAGTTTGGTCTTCGTGCTGAATTCCAAGTCTCCTTCCCCTGATTTGCCATACTCAAAGCAAATAATGCCACATCAGGCGCACTGCCAATAACGATTGCCACATCTTCATTCTCTTCCCCAAGTCTCCTCACCATGGGTTCACCATCTGAGGTGTCAATCTCCTCAACTTTCTGGATCTCTGACTCATCATCATCACCTCCAATGTAGAAGTCACTCGAGTTCCATGATCTTCTAGCTCATCATCCCTTCCCCGCAAGCAAAGCTGATTGGCTCACTGTTCTCAATTCTCCTGACCACTGGTTTGGTATCTGCTGAACTACTCTGCTGGCTCACATTGGCATGTTGCTGGCCAACTGCATGAGTAGTCACTGATGCTCCTCCTGAACATGAATGGGCTTGATCACTTGCTACCTGTCAAATATTGTTCCTCCACCATTCTTTAGCAAGATGTCCTGGCTTTCTAGAAGTGTAACATCTTGCCACACCTTTGCCTTTTTGGTCTTTGCCCCTACCTTTGCCCTTGCGATCGCCTTCCTTCCCTTTCTGATCTCCTTTCCCTGTCTTTCCTTTGCCTTTAGCATTTTTACCTTTGCCCTTTTGATGGTCATTCTTGCCCTTCTTACCTTTTCTTTTGGCATCTTGAACTCGATCAAGGCCCATGGGCATAGGTCCTTGATAGTCTGTACTGCTACTTGCCACCATGGAAGTAGCCCACTTCTCTTGAGAGCGATTCCAGTGTAACACGCGTTCCCTCAAAGTTGAGCATTGAGCATTGTCGCCGATCGTCAAATCCAGTTTTGGTTGAGTTGTCCACCTACACATCTCAAAAGAATAGCAGGTTTCAACTCTTGATGAACTGTCGCCCCTGACTTGACTGTCTCATCAAACACTTCTTCAAGCTTCAAGAGTTGAGGTTGTAGTGCACTGTTCATTGAAAACGCTGGCCATGTAGTGGCTGCTCTCAAAAGCGCTAAGCTTCTTGCCTTTGAAGTTGGCTTCAAAGCTTTATTCAAACAAACTTTCACCAATTGCAGCGCCCTGCCTCTCATCAAGGAAGCTAGCAATCCATAGAGCATGATGCACCTGGTCTTCTCTGCATCAGTTGCCAAGACCATGTCAAATTTGTATAAATTTGTCATTTGGCTTCTCACGAGTTTCCTCCAGGTCCCTCATGTAGACCTCATCCACTGCACTCAAATATTTCTCAAAGACCCATGACCACTCTCTAAATGCCTTGATCTCTTCTTCTTGCGACTTATAGTCAGAGATGTTGGGCTTTGCTATCAATGTTGACCCATCTGTTGTTGATGACTTCTTGTCTTCAACCGCTTTCTTCACTGCGTCAGCTGCTGACGTTGTTTCTTGCGGCCAGGATTTCCTTGATCTCTTCCATCTCTTCTGTGTTACTAATGTCTCTTTGACACAATGTACGGGATATAGAGCGCCGCTCGCAACAATTTATCACCAGTCCAGCTGCTTGGGTTCCAAAGGCCACAAATCTATGGCCCGAAATCGCACCCGGGATCCCAATGACCTAGGGTCTTTTCTTTCCGGACACTGGGGGTGACCCTTATCCTTGCTCCGCTATCACGCGAACCTTTTCTGAACCAAAAGAGGGCTGCAGGTAAGCTCCACGTACACTCCGTGATGTTTATTATGTCATGTACAGTGAGACTGATCTACTTGAAAAGTACTTCACACATATGAATCTGCAGCTGGAACTACAAGTATCCTGATAAACTTGCAAACCAATCCGAGGAAAAGTCCACAACCTCTTCCATACATCACACCTACGACAAACTCCAACGACAGACCAAGAAAATTAGCCACCAGAATGGTCAGCTAACCATTGGTTTTGAAGCTCCACATTATCCAATGAGAAGGCTGCCCGGCATTCAACTTCCAGAATACGTTTTAATCCTAATCCTTGCATTGGGAGGCAGGTTCGTAACAAACAAGGATGGCAGACCTCCGGACTTTCCTCAAAGCATACACAGGTGTAGTAGTTCCACTTGAATGCGCTCGCATAAATTGAAAATCGTAGCAAAAATTGTTGATGCAGGATCTTTGTCATGACTCGTTTCGCTGGCAATTCGTCATGATTCGTTTTGCTCCCCTGTTTTTTCACGCTCCGTTGACTCTGCCGAGACGAGCCCGATATGGGCCTTGTACCGGTCCGCCCCATGACGCTCATAGGAGTCTTTGACGAGCGCGCGCCCCTTCAACATCGACTGCGACTGCTGCAATCGCCCACCAGTGAGCAGCAAATCCAGCTGTTCGAGCGTGTCACCAATGCAATCCAAATTTTCTGACAAGATGCGACGACCATTCTCGTGAGACCAGTCTGAGTAGTCATGAGTCATGAGTATATAGTCTTTGGAAAGGGTTTCTTGTTCTGAAACACATCTTTTTGAGCTAAGCTAGGAGGGCGAGAACTAGACCATCAAGTTCAGTTCAGCGTTTCAAAGTTTATCCAACACAACACATCTACATATGCGTTTCCCTCCGAACTGGGCCACGTTGCGGACGCACGGCGATCGTGCTGGCGCAGTCCTTGTTCTCCAAACGCATGACTCCAAACCTCTTAGGTCTAATGAATAAGTGGCCCGGAAATGTGGGGGAAACCTGCGCCTGCTTCCAACTCTCCGGCTTTGCATGCTTCAGCAGGGCGACCAAAGCCACGCCAACAGTTGCTCAGCCCACTGTCCACCAGGGATATCATCCTCATGGAGCAGCTGAGATCTGAAAGCTAAAATAGGACGCCCTCTCTGAAACATGCACGCAGGCCACACACATTAAAAAAGTCGTCCCTCGTTTGATAGACATTGCTACTCAACATTTTCCCGATGTTGCACATGGGTCAGCTTACACGCGGTGTTTTGGCTGCATACATGCGCCATGGCTTGTATTATGCTTTGTGAGAAGAGTGAGAAGAGTCGCACTGCACCTTCGGACGTGCCTCTTTGAACTGGGGTTGCCACGCATCCTTCGAACGCAGGACATGTCCCAAGCAAGATCTGCCTGCAACTTCTGCGTAGCAACTTCTGCACGTGTCACATGCGCAGAACTCAGCTTCTCATACTCTTCTTTACTTCACCAGATCCCAAGTAGGATGCAAACGCGTGAAACCTGCTAAGTTCGAGACGCGCGTTCTCGATGGTTCGTTGGCTGCGTTGGCCGAAGGCACGCGCGAGCGCCACAAAAACATGGAGCGACCTGAAGCCAAATCGAAAAGGCTGGACGACAGCCTCCAACGCATCACCACACTGCTACTCGTGGAAATCAAGCTGGCAGCTGGCACGAGCGGCCTCATTATTTACGAAGCTGAAGCATCTCTTCTCACATATCCAATCAGTCAGTTGTTGTATTGTCATGACGGCAGCAGAAGCTCCAAGGTGGCACTCACTTTCTTGTGACTTGGCTGGAGCTTCTGCAATACCAATGCTTGCACTTCTTCAGAGAAAAATGCCCTACCCGCCACGCGGTCGTCCTTTAGCAGCAAGGCTAACATTCCGACTCCTGCTTTCAATCTCCTTCTTCCAGTGATGCGTCAGTAAAAATCAGGACGCGGCTGTCGGCAATGTCTGCCCGAAGCACTCTAGGGACTGACGAAGACATGAACTTTTGAGTTCCAGGCAACTTTCCTGATGCTCGACTGTTTCAGACTCTCTTTCTGACCAAAGGTTTGACTCTCTGCAATTCAGCCGGCCCTAAGGGCGCTAGCTTCAGCCATGGAAAGTGACTTGTGGCAGGTATGCGGTCAATGTCACCACAAACTTGCTCTACCCTTGACTCTTTGTTCTTGACCTTTCCTTCCAGAAGCTGTGTCAGTGAAGTCAAAGACACGCCAAGTTCAGCAAAGGCCGGTCTTTCTGCGGCTTTAACAGAGTAGCGCCAACGCAGAAGACTCAGTACACTCTCAGCAGTGTTTTGCGAATGCCTCAGCAATCTTCCAAGTCAAGCTGAGGGTAATCGTCGTAAGAATTCGCGTGCAAAGGCGTGTTCCTATTGATGCGGGTGGCACGAGAAATTTGTTGAAACTTTTAAACCGACGCGGCTGCCCCAAATGGCAGCACGCGTGAAACAAAGAAATGCTTTCAGCGGCTAGCATCAGGCACCAGCAAAACACTACTTCATACAGAGGGCTCTTTCACAATCATCTGTTTGTACGCAGCCTCAAGGTCCAGTGTGCGGCCCGCCAATTTTCGTGTGAGAGATGGGTGTAAAGGCAAGCATGACTGGCCAACTCGTGGAAACAGCCCCATCATCACGCACTGCTGCAAGGAAAGCGCGGGCTAGGGCAGAGATACCATCGACGCCGTCCAGGTCCAACTTGCTTTGCGCACAGAAGGCCGAGTTGACTGACACGTCATCGATTGGCCTGACTTTATCAGACTGGACAAGACAAAGGCAACCAAGGCACAAGCTCAGGATGTCTGCTACCGAGAGGTTGCTTACCAGCAGCGGCCACGCTGGCATGAGCAGCCCGAGGATGTGAAGGGCTTCTTTTGCGCGTCTTGTGCGAAATGGCTGCGGAATGAAGGGCACTGGCTATTCGAGAGCGCAGAAGTGGGTATTCATTGCCATCAAGAGCAGTGAGCTTGCGTTCGTTGCCATCACTTGTTGCTCCCCACAGAACATGGTCACGCTGACCGTCGCAGCTCTTGGAACCAGGCGCAGGCATTGGTGTATAAGTGTACAAGGTGGTCTTTCGTCACGACGGTCACCGTGCATGCACTGCTGAAATCAAACTAACACCAAGGAGAAATCACCAATGAGGCTTTTGGTCCGTTGGGTGCTCCACAACAGGAGCGCCTGGGGCTTACGATGGCCACAATGGCACCCATGGCTCAAGCTTGCTGGAGAATCATGGCAACATGTTTGTAGATTGAGTTAGCTGTCTTGACTCTCTTCAGCTCAGAGCCTTGAAGGCCGGGCAGTCCATGTGGAAAGGCAGCACTGCCCAGTGATGCGTGCACTTTCACACCTCGCGTTCGTAGTTTGCAGCTTAATTTCTTCTTTTGTTGGGGCAAAGCTGTGCCACATGGCGGTTTTGCATGAAATTGAAAACATGACTTGGCTGTCTCAGGAGCGTAAAAAGCTAGCCCACAGCTCCTTCGTCCGCAAGGTCTAACATTACGGTTGGATGGAAACTGCCGAGCTTATTGCTGGTCAATTGCAACCGTCTGAAGGCCTTTGGCCGAAAGACATGAAGACGACCGAGCATTGCCTGCGCAAAGTTCACCAGCAACTATTGAATTCAATGGTGGGCCGGCAAAGTTTGTAGGTGAGACTGAAGGCGCCCCGCCAGGGGGCCCCACGCGATTGCTTCACTGCACGCTGAGAGCGCGCCTCCTGACATGTGGTGCAGACATGCAACCCTTGGCGCATTTTGCCCCAGCTTTGGCCGGATTGCAGCCAGACAAATTGTAGGAAAAACCACTAGAGCTCCATTTTCCATGATCGCGCGCTGACCAATCAGCTCCGATGGCATGCGAATTGCACTGCGCGCTCAACTGGATTTGGAGCCTTTGCCCTATAATTGAAGCTTTTTGGTGGCACCCGAATCTTCATCCTCCTCATGGCCAGGCTTGCGCTTTGTTGAGCCTCCAATCTGCAAAGGGTGTAGGTGGAGACGGATGCCCGGAGCCACCAAAGCCTTATCAAGGGCCAGCGCAGACGCAGAGTGTCTAACGTCGCTTTCGGAGCCCATAAAACAAGTTTG